TGATGCAGTCCCACGACTCGTGATGCAACCCTGAGCGCAACCTATATCGTGATTCTACATTTTTTTAAATAGACGGTGATTCCAATGATCTTACATTGTTCCAATGTCGTGTGGGAACTGACATAGTGATGGGGTACAAAACCGTAAAATCGGATGATTCCACAATTTCCTTTCAATTTTGACTTTACTGCATATATATATATATAAATTATATTTGTGATTAATTATAAGATAATGTAGTGGTATTTTGTGTATTTTTTATACTAAGATATATATGTTGAGGCTTAGTCAAATGTATGTGTGGTTAAATCTGAAAGTGATGAAGATCTTATTGAATCATAAAACGAATATCTTGTTGATTTGATGAAGTCAAAGGCTAATCTGATGAAGTCAAAGATTATTTGGGTTAAAAGGGTAGAGTGATTAGTGAGTCTGCATCTATACATAGGTATAATCATTCATATCTCTCTGCTGCATGAGGTTTCATCATTTAAAAGATTTTGAAAATGCCTCTAAAGATGTTTCATCTGTTAAAAACCAAAGTAATCTGTTAAATAGTTTTTAAGAACTTGTTTTAACTGATATTATATGAGTTTTATCAATTAAAATGTTTTTAAAACTTACATAAACAGATTTTTAAATGATATGCTTTAAAAATAATCGGTTATTTTCATTAAAAGGGTTTTTGAAAATCTTCTACTAGTGTTTTAAGCTGATATAGATTCGAAATAATCGATTAAAATCATTTAAGATGTTTTGAAAAGTGTTTTGACAGTATTTTAATCGATATAACTTCAAAATAATCGATTAAAACCACTTGAAGTACTTTTTAATCGATGTAATCCCATATATGATTTATCAGAATAAATTTTAACCGATTAAATCTCATATATGATCAATCAAAATAAGTTTTAACCGATTAAATCTCATATATGACCAATCAGAATAATTTTAATCGATTAAACTGCGATTTAATCGATTAAAACAACTTAAGGAACTTTTTGCTAACTGTTTTAATCGATTAAAACTTGTTGTTATCAGTTAAAATTACTTAGAAAGTTTTATGAAAGGTTTTGGCAAAATTTTAATCGATTAAATTGTGAATTAATCGATTAAAACAACTTAAGGGATTTTTTACAAAGTGTTTTAATCGATTGAAACGTTGTCGTATCAATTAAAACAAATCTGAAAAATAATCAAAGAACATTTTAACAGATTAAAAGAAGTTTTAACAGATTAATTCAAGACTTTTAACAGATTAAAAGATTGTTTAATAGATTAATTAAACCAACAGTTAGAACAAATCTCTATATAAACAGGATTGTTTCAGTCTTTTAAAATATACCTTTGAGCAATCAATCAAGCAATCATAAGTGAAGTTTTTCAAGAAAGAATCGCGCAAGTTTTGTGATGTTTTTTAAAGTTCTTTCTTGAGACATTTTTGCATTTTTTTTTAAGAAACTCATACTGCAGAGACTGCATAATCCGGGTTAGATTGTTTTGGTTTCTTCTCTTTCGTTTTCTTTCATTCTTTTTTGTACTGTGAGTGCCTGCAATTGTTAGGCATGGTTTTTGTGGTTGGAATTTGGCTGCAGGTTGGTTCAAGAACTAGAAGTTGGTTCTTGGTGAAGGTTTAGGTGCAAGGACTGGAATTTTGGTTCTTGTAGTAGATTGAGTGTGTGATTGAAATCTGTAATCTGTAAAACATTCAATCTAGTAGAACTCAGCTGGAATTTGGCTGAGAACTGGACATAGCCCTGGGATTGGGTGAACCAGTATAAATCTTGATTGTATTTCTCTAAACCTTACTCTCTTTAATTATGTTGCTGCCTTTATTTTAATTGCTTGTTTTTCTTGATTCAAGAATTGATCAGAACTCTTAATCTTTGAAATAGATAATCTGTAAATTGCGAAAAACTTTCAAAGATCAATTCACTCCCCCTCTTGATCTCAGCCTCTTTTTCTAACAAAATTGAGTTAGGGATGTGATCTATAATCGATTGAAATGTGTGTGATTGTGGGTACCCAGGAAGGTACTCTGTAATGTAGTGTGTAAGGATATTGAATTGAGATTTTGAATAAGATTATGATGACTTTGTTGATCATTGGAATAACATAAGATGAAATAATCAAGTGGTGAGAGTTGAGGGATGTCTATATGACTTAGCTTATGATTTAAAAAAAAAAATTATATCTGACAAGTCATATATAAGGATTTATCATGTCACACAATAAAATATGATCTAATTATGTACCTATGTTGGAGATGTCCAATTAAGGAAGGTGGTGTGTTAGGTGTAAAATCTCTAAGTTTAATTCACTATCCAATCGTTCCAAAGTTTTTTAGAGTTTCTGAAAAATGAATTGATATGATTTGATAAATATAAAATTGATTTATGTAGTGGTAGTATATGATGTGAATTTATATTAACTTACCGTATGTGCTTTATAAGTTGCTTTTTTAACTGTGATAATCATTCGTTTTATATAAGAGTAGATTATGCAGGCGTTCAATCTCAACAGGAATAAGACAAAAGATTATACGATCTTAAATTTTTTATTAATTTTATATTTTATAATATTTTAAATATATGTATAAAATATTTAAAGAAGAGAGAGTTTATATTTTAAAAATATCTAATTTATATAGATTATATAAATATCTATAATATATGTTTTGGAATGTTACAGAAATAATTTTGTAATTAAGTAAATATTTAATTTTAATTTATTTATTTAATTTTTTAAATAAATATTTTTTTCCTTTTTAATGTTACTTTTTTTTAAGAAATAATTTTTTTACACTTTCTTATTATTGACCTAAGGATTGTTTTTTACTTTTGTTGATAATAAAAAAGCTAAAGTGATATTTATTTGTTGAAATTTGAATAAAAAATTGTTGAAAGTGTGGATATTATTGAATAAAACGGTTACACATGTAATACAATTGTTTAAAAATATTTTATGTACTTAGAAAAATTGCAATAATTTTTTTAATGACATCACTGTTAAATTAAAAAAAATTATCGTGTATATAATATAAGGATGTAATATATATATATATATATATATATATATATATATATATATATATATATATATATATATTTGATAAAAAATAGATATATCGAAATATATTTTCATAATATATGATATAATTAATTTTTATTTAATAATTGATTAATACATATATGTAAAAGAATAATGTAAATTTAAGATTTTTCTTTTTTGGATTGGATTAAACTATTTTTAAAATCATAAGAATATATATCATCCAAAACTGTTAAGAGTTTTTTTATGTTATTAATATTTTATGATTATAATATAAGAAAATGGAATGGAAATATTTTTAAACCAAGATTTATCTTAAAAGAAGTGATTTAAGAAAAATAAAAAAATGTTATTGATTCAGTACATTCTTGTACAAATTTGCATCTAAAAAACTAGATAAAAGAAGAAACTACAATCTTTTCTAAAAGGCTTGTTCACTTTTATGTAATTTAAGAAACATTGTTATGAAAAATTGAAGCTGAGTTTAACTCCAAACTATTTATAACTTTAAGTTTTGAATCCAATTTGACACATACAATAAATATTTTCATTTAATGCCCAATTAATTATATTTTGAACTATATAATTGATTCCATATTAATAAAACTTATTATATTGTTGAATATACTGTTAATTATAATTTTTAAAAGATACAATTACCAAATTAATTTTAAAATTTATTGGCTTTATATATATATAATATGTTGAAAACAATTATTAAAGACAGCATATGAAATATTTTCACTGTCAAACACCTTTTTAATGAAATAAAATAATATGGAAGTTGGAGATTACATAACTTATGTTAAAATAATGCATCAAGAGTAATATTATTCATATGTAATATTAAAATTTTAATTAATTGATGTAATTTAACTTAATTAATAGTTTTAAGTTTGAGATCTAGGTAGGTATTGATCATAGTGAAAATTTTGTTTTTTTATTCTAACCTTCAAATAGAATTATCTCTAAAATATTTTGTAAAACATATAAAAAATAATATTATTCATACATATTTTCTTACAATAATTTTACATTATTATTTAAATATATATATATATATATATATATATATTAATTGTTTACTTAAAATGTCCAGGTGAGTTGAATTTTGATAAGTGATGTAATTTATGGTTGGGTCCACCCAAATTAGTGGCAATTATGAAAATAAGTTCGAGAGATCCAGGACCTTTTTAGAAAAAATAAATAAATAAATAAATGCAGCACATACCAACAAAAATATAAAAATAAAAAATGGTGGATGAGAAAATTGAAGAAAAAAAAAATACAAAACAAAATTGATAAGCAAACTGATAAGTTGTACTTCATTTCATAGGCAAACTAAAATTCCGTCAACTTTCCTCTTCCTTCTACTTCTTCTGGGTCCCACACTCCCATGGTGATTTCTTATATAAGGATTCCCTGCTTGAACAAACTCCAATACCATCATTGCTCTCCCAATGCACACTTGTTTCTTAGTATGCATGCAAAAATTCTTTTTCAGCACTAGTTTCAAGATCCTTCAATTCATTTCCATTTACCAGATCTTCATTCTTGTTTTGGAATTTTAATTTCGTCGAAGAACTCTTTCTCTTTAATCAACAACTGTGGCGAATTGTTCCTTCCAATCCTATTCTTGAATATACATCCACCCGAAGAAGAGGTTAGTCCAACAATGGTGATTTGTCTGTTGTTCAAAATTTGGCGTTGCAATTGTTCATTCTTTCATTTTCTTTCTCTGTAAGTTACAATTTTTCTCTGCAGTTTTTCTTGTTCAAGCACAAGTTTCAATCTTTTTTCACTCCTTTGTCCTCCATTCTTGCCTCTAATACTATTCTAAAATCAATTTTTTTTTCCTGGGTATTGATTTTGGAACTCAGAAGGTACCAAAGTTTGAATTTTTGCAGCACCCCTTGAATCTTTTCCATCAAGAAGATAGTTAATGTAAGATGCCTTCGTGGTATGAGAATATGTTTTATTGGTGCATGAATGCGAGATCCCCTCCCGAGACGAGTGATGATGAGGAGGAGGAATTAGGAGTTGGAAATGCTCTTGCTTGGAGTAAAGACCTTGAGAAGCATTATTGTGGTGAACTGTCCTATGCTGTGTGTCAGGCCAACCAATTTATTGAGGATTATAGTCATGTTGAGATTGGCAAAAATGTCATTCTTGTTGGGATTTATGATGGCCATGGTGGTCCTCAAACTGCCAACTTTATCAGAGATCACTTAATTGACAATCTATTAGGTGAGTCTTTTAGATTTTTTTTGTTTCATGTTTCTGTTTTTGAATTTTTTTGGTTGTATGTATTGTTATCTGTTATTTTATAATCTGCCAATTGTGCGTGCTATCTTCTTATTATTTGGAGTGTCTTCTGGTTTATATGGTCTTGGCCCTGGGTGTTTTTTGGTTTTACTGTTGCATTGATTTTAGGCTGCAAAAAACTGCATGAAGCTCAGTCTGCCTTCTGATGCTTTTCTTTTGGCTTCCTCTCCCTTTTGCTCATTTTCTTTCTTTATGTTATATTTTCTTGAAATTCAAAAGAACCAAATGATGAGTGTATGTATATCCACGCTATTATGCTACAATTTCTTTCTTTGTGTATGTTTATACTTGTATGTGTGTCTAATATGGAAACAGTAACTTCTGCATTTAAGATGATAGAAAATTGATGATACACATGCCACAAATTGATTTATCTGTCAATTTAGGATGAATTTGATTTACCAAATTCCATATTGTGGGTTTTTATATTCTTAAATTTCTGTTTTAGTTTTATGGAGCTAGTTTAATCGATGTGTGACTAGGTAAGTCAACATGTATAATTATATAAATATGGTTAAATTTGACCTGCAATATTTGCATAAAGTAGGCTCTTTTTTTATTTTTATTTTTCCTACTGTTGTTTGGTAGTGTGTGGCGTTGATGCTGCCTTGGTTTAAGCAATTTATGGAAGTTTTATGTGGAACTTGGTTACAGTTAGTATTGAGGATAAAAGAACTATCGATGAAGCAACTATGAGGGAAACTATTTCTGCTGTAGAGGATGAGTTTCTGAGTTATGTTAGAGTGAATTATAATGTATCGCCGCAGATTCTAAAAGTTGGTTCCTGTTGTCTGGTTGGTGTTATCTGGAATGGGGTTCTACAAATCGCCAATCTTGGAGACTCCCGTGCCATAGTTGGTTCTGTTAGTAGATGTAACAAGCTCTCTGTTGAACAGTTGACTGTAGATCACAATGTTAATAGGGACGAGATTAGACAAGAAGTTAGGGATTTGCATCCAAACGATCCTGATATTGTATCTGTAAGTCGTGGAGCATGGCGTATTGAAGGCGTCATCCAGGTTATGTTGCTTTTTACCTTCAGAATGAGTTTTTAGTAGTTTGTTCCCTTGGCCTCTTTCCCAGAAGAACTCTGTTCCAAAACAGTGATTCTTTATGAAATGCAAAACCACTTTTTCGTATATTGTGTCATCATTTGATGGATATGACACTGTATTAACTTAAATGTTTTCTTGTTGACTCAAAAACTGGTATCAGGTATCCAGAAGCATAGGAGATGTATATTTGAAGAATCCAGTGGTCCCTGAAGATCCATTATTCCCTAAGCCCCGCTTTGGTAAAGCTGTGGTGAGTGCAGAGCCAGCTCTACTGTCAAGAGTTTTGCATCGCCATGACAAATTTCTTATATTTGCATCGGATGGACTTTGGCAGTACTTGTCAAATGAGCAAGCAGCTGAAATTGTTCATTTAAGTCCACGAGATGTATGTTTTTTGTACTTGTCCTTCCATTGTTCCTTCTTATATCTTCACCCTTGTATATATGAGAATGCTCTAACTTGTTTCTTATGCCTATGCTTTTGTTCAAAAAATCAAATCCAGGGGGTTGCAAAAAAACTTGTTAGGGCTGCTTTAAAGGCGGCAGCTAAAGCAATGAAAGTTACATATCAAGCTCTTCTGAACGCTGATTTAGCGGGCAGACGGGTTTATCATGACGACATTACTGTGATTGTTGTCTTCTTAGACCATCGGTTTGTTCACAGGAGAGATACTGATATGACAGAGTTGTCCATAAAAGGGTTCGCTGACACAATTGAATCATCAAAATTTCATAGAGCCCGGAATATTTTGTGATACAAGAATTATTCTTTCTTGAACTACAGCAAAATAAAGTTGATTGGCTCCGCCAAATTCTGGTTCAAAAGGAAAATAAGAATCTATGACATTACACTTAGACACAGTTTTGTAGCATACTAATGTTGTCTACTTTAAAAGTATACTTTCTGTTTCTGAATCTCATTTGCTGGTCATAACTAATGCTGATATTGGATTAGAAGGCCATGTTAAAGTCAAAGTTATAAGTATGAAAAGCAGGGTGTAGAATCAGGACTTTTTTTTGTTTGGTACTGAAGTCATTATCAGCACAAAAATTCCAACTATGATAACATATATTTATATAATTCGTATTATAAATATTTCACTTTGAATCGAAATTGTCTTACTAACTTTACAAACCGACTCGTAATTTTTTTTTCTAAATTAGAACGTAACTATTAAACATATTCAAGTGTTCAAAAATATACATTTAAGTCTAACTAACATTTAAATAGAAATTGGAAAAAAAAAATATGAATACAATATGTATTAAACATTAAATTAAATAACAAAATGCAAAACTTTGTATTATACATTTTACTTGAGTTGTAGATACGGGTAGTTTACGTCTCGGTGAACTAGACTAGACCCATCATTTAACGAATTTTGTATATCAAACTAAAAAAAAACATAAAAATAACGCAAAATACAAAAATAAAAGCATATTCTTACAAGGACTAGTTTGTTAAATCTAAATACCCACATCTACGTGCATTATCCCATAACATGTCATTTCGGACATTCATCAGACCCATAGCAACATGTCATGTGGTGTCTAGCATTATGTGACCCAACCATTGCATGCTAGATTGCCTTCACATCTCATCACACAGCGACGTTATGTGTTTTACATACTTGGCGCATGTTATTTTCTGATATGAAGTTATTGGTGTTAATGAATTAAAATATATATGTTTCTAACTTTGTTCTTTTGAGATAATTGGTGGATTTATTTGATCTTTCCAAGTATTTGAATATTTTTATAGACTAATTAAGAGTTATTAAATGAATGTCATTCAGTACAAAGCTAAGAGAAAAAACAGAGAGAGAAAAAAAATGGAATCAATGAAAAAGTAGTTGAATCAAGCTCTAACGTGATCTACCTACAAGGACTTAAAAATCATGTCATCTTTTGCAGAAAATGATGAAGAAAAAATTAGTTGTTTATCTTATGCTTGCAAGGCCTATTTGTATGGCCTAGTTTGAGTGTGTAGTGTTTCCCAAATAATAACAAACTGATTCATAGGTACTTGCTGCCTATGATTCTAGGCCATATTCCAGGATTGCACACTAATATGAAGGACACTTATGCAATGTCAAGGAAACTCTACATAGTAAAAGTATATTGTGCGTAAGTCGTAGAATTGGTATTGGACCTTATACTCATTAGATCTAAGAATGGTTGGGATAAGGGCCAAGATAGGAAGAAGTAACGAGGCTCCGTTTGAGAGGGAGATAATGGCCATGGAGAGACAGACTCAACAATTCAATGGGCAGGCCAAGACATAGCAAAACCTGAGATGTAACCTTTGAGATATAGGTCAAGTATTGAGATAAAATATTGGGAGGACTGCGATCAACAATGACTTTTTGGTTGCAGAGAATTATAAATGAAGCAAGTACCATACCGCTACGTTAATCACAATACTTCATAAAAAGAATTTGTTGATTCAACCAAGCCAAATCGGTAACAATGCACATCTCTTCTACTACAACAAAAGGGGGGAAAATTGAATCTTACATATCTTGCCAGCCTTCATGCTCTTATCTCAACATATCAAAGAAAGGGAAACACAAAAACATGCTAAAAGGAATGGTAAAGAGTAGGAAATGCAAGTTCCTCAACCACTTCATGGTATTTTTGTAGTATTTGTATAAATAGTAATTTCCTGGTCCAGCTTTCATACTCCATGATTATAACTTAGAAGCATTTCCTGTGAACGATTGATGGTCCAGATTCATCATACTCTGCCTTCGCAATCCACATCTGCACATGGGAGAGAAAACATAAAACGGAGTGACTAAATTTGCTACTTTCAATGGTTTGAGTCGACTTCAGCAAATACTTACTCTGTTGCCAAACATGCACAACGAAAAATAATATATTTTGAACTAATGCTATTCCCTTGATCTATCTCAGTATTATGTTTGATATTTCCTCCTACTTTGTCATAATGTTTACTTTATTAAAGTTTCTACTTATCATTGAAATATAATTTCCCATGTTATTGGCTTTAATAGAATTCCAAAAATTTAGTAGCTTCACTCGTGCAATTATGGTCATGTATGCAGTTTACCTGTTGGAAGGTACTGAGGGAAGCCAAGATGGAGCCTCCAATCCAGACACTGTACTTCCTCTCTGGTGGTGCTACAACCTTAATTTTCATGCTACTTGGTGCCAATGCTGTAATCTCCTTGCTCATCCTATCAGCAATGCCTGGGAACATTGTGGAACCACCACTCAATACAATGTTACCATAGAGATCCTTCCTAATGTCGACATCACACTTCATGATAGAGTTATAGGTTGTCTCATGGATGCCAGGAGATTCCATCCCAATCATGGATGGCTGGAACAGAACTTCAGGGCACCGGAATCGTTCAGCACCGATAGTGATCACCTGCCCATCAGGAAGCTCATAGCTCTTCTCAACAGCTGAGCTGGTCTTGGCAGTTTCCAATTCCTGCTCATAATCAAGAGCAATATAAGCCAGTTTCTCCTTCATGTCCCTCACAATTTCACGCTCTGCAGATGTGGTGAAAGAGTAACCACGCTCAGTCAGAATTTTCATTAGGGCATCGGTGAGATCACGCCCTGCAAGGTCCAAACGCAAGATTGCATGCGGAAGGGCATAGCCTTCATAGATAGGAACCGTGTGACTGACACCATCTCCAGAGTCCAGAACAATACCTATAACGAACATCATAGAAAAACCTCATCAACTCATTTCATTCAATACCAAGCATGTCACTAAATTGCTACTAGACTTCCAAATCTCGTTCAACATTTAAGACGCAAACATGGAAATAAACAGAAAGTTTAACTTTTAACATATTCTCACTCACAAAGTCCTCCTCGCTACAATGCAACAATCGAAACTCTTTTAGGCTTCAAGGGTTACTTAGTATTTATTTTTCATTTCATTAGAACAACAGAAACAACAAGGATTCCTTGCAGCTTCGGTTTCTAAAGTTATCCGTGTAACCAATCTCTCTTCTCTTAGCGGCACAACGGATCATGTCATGATCCAAAAAACCCAAAAGCTTAAACTAACATGCAAAGACACATAGACCCAATTCGGATTAGCATGGAGCTCATGCAAGCCATTTCAATTGAAATAAACACATGATCCGTAACTTACAAAACATCAAGTTAGATGACAAAGACGGATCAACAGTTTCATAACATATCTAAAACCACAACATGCATGTTACTCCAAATAAACAAAAATCAAGAAGGGGATGAAGATCGGTTACCAGTTGTACGGCCACTAGCATAAAGGGAGAGCACAGCTTGGATGGCGACATACATAGCAGGAGTGTTGAAGGTCTCAAACATGATCTGAGTCATTTTCTCACGATTAGCCTTAGGATTAAGCGGTGCCTCGGTGAGAAGCACAGGGTGTTCTTCAGGGGCCACACGAAGCTCATTGTAGAAAGTGTGATGCCAGATCTTCTCCATGTCGTCCCAATTGCTCACAATCCCATGCTCAATAGGGTATTTCAGAGTCAAAATACCCCTCTTTGATTGAGCCTCGTCCCCAACATACGCATCCTTCTGCCCCATCCCAACCATCACTCCAGTGTGACGTGGACGCCCCACAATGCTAGGGAACACCGCCCTCGGTGCATCATCTCCGGCAAAACCAGCCTATCACACATATTTCAACAACATTCACGTTATCAATTAAGAAAAATATATTTTCTTACAGATCCTCAACAACATTCCGTTGATCTGAGTCAAACTGAAGTCGGATCTCGAATTCGAGTTGTGAAAATGAAGAAAGTGATCGAATGGGACGATGACCGGTTAGGTTTCAATTTCAATTGAAAAAGGAAAAGAAAAACTACGATCTCATTTATTCATACCTTGACCATTCCGGTTCCATTATCGCAAACGAGGGGTTGAATATCCTCGGCATCAGCCATTGTTGTTTAAGGTAAGGATGTGTCTGTTGCTGCAAAAACACACAAAATCTGCGTTAATCGGTGGGTGGTTGTGCTTATCGGGTGAACGAAAGAGGAAGAGAGAACGTGGCGGTACCAACGGAAAGAAGGAATGTGTGTGCGACAACGTGTGTGTATGAGAGTGTGTCGTGTTTTTTCGAAGTTTGTGAATTTTGTGTGTGTGAGGCTGAGGTACCCGCCCTGTGGTTTAAAAAAGGAAGGTGTGGTCAAATGAAATTCGCTTCAAATGTAGCGCAAATTACACGTCCTTGGATCCTGGCCGTCCGTATCGAATATCGCATCCACGGGCCACGTTTGTTGTTGGAATTAGCTGGCACTCTTGCGCTTTTTCTTACTTTCCAGTTACACCCCCTTCGCTTCTCCAATAACCCCATCTCTCTCTATTATTCATTTTCTTTATTCCACTTTTGTTTTTCCATCATTCATCTCCAATCTTTCTTCTTCTTCTTCTTCCAAATTCAATGCTATCATTCTTTAATTTTACCATCAAAATTATTTCAAGGATATTTTTAAGAAAAAATTAGTTTAATCTTTCATTTATCTAGAAAAATAACATAAAAAATACTATCCTATTACATAATAACTCTATTAAACGAACCTTTAACAAGAGAATAAATCAACATTACTTACCCCAACGTTTAATATTTTTTATACTTAAATGTCAGTTTAAAAATGTTTTAAATACTCAATCAATCAACATCTTAAATAGTATTAAATAATTTATGATTCGATTATCTTTGTTAATGAACTCTTTTTCTTTGACAGTGTATTATTGAATAGTTAAATAAATTCATCTTATATAACTAAAATGAGTAAACGAACCTCCATTTTCTTTGAAAGTATTAAATTTGTTTGGTGAAGCAATATTTATGTTACTTGTTCTACACATTTAAAGGAGTTAAAAACCCATGGTATATTCTTTAAATCCCATCCAAAACCTTTCTTGAGGGGATCCTAAGCCCAAACGTGTGGCATTTATTTGAGGGTTCATAATCCATGATCCATTCCAGTGTTAAAGAACTTGAATGTGAGAAGAAGCAACATGCATTATGGTCTTGAGTGCCAACTCCATAATACCAACATCATATAGGGTGAGCTGGATATTATTATGATATGATGAAAGGAGGGGCAATTTGGGAAAAGGAAAAGACCCCACAAGACAAGTAAAGTAATGTAAACCTAGGGGGTGTTGCTAGAAGAAGCAGCTTTTCTTGTTCTGGGGTGTGTGTAATTTTCACTCTTAACTTTTTAGAGGTTGATGATGGAGTGTGTGGTGTGGTGTGGGGGTAATGATGCATGGGACGGTGCCAAAAGCGACATGCCACAACGTTGCCAACTCAGCATTCAGTTTGCAACTGTCGATAGATCATGTCGGCATGTTTTTTACCCTGCGCTCGAGTCTACCCACACTTCTTGCTCCCGCCTGCGATTGGATTCTCCGTTGACCGCTTCAAATTCGCTTTTGCATCCGACGGTTGAGGCTTCCTCTCGTTGCTTTGCCCTAAGACGTGCAGCGGATAACTACCAACCAAACGTAGAACGTGGTTTCCCGCTTCGGACAATCCCGTCCCCCGTTGACTACCCCTTTTGGTTGTCCAATGCTTTCTTTTGATGTGATAGGAAATTTAATTTAATTATATTTTAAAAAATATTTTTGTTTTGTACACTGAGTTATTTTTTAACAAAATTGTTTTTGTTTCTTAACTCTGTGTTGATGTTGATGAGTATGATAAAAAGGTAAAAAGGAAAAAAAAAAAAAAACTTTTTTTATTCGGCTAAGCTTTCCTTGTGTAAAAAGTAAGAGAAACAAAATGTAGCTATATTAGGTGAATTTTATATCATTGTTTCCTCAGAGTTTTGGTTTAATTTGTAGTTTATATGAAAATAAATATTTTAGATAAGTTTTTTAGAATCTTTATTTTTTCTAATTGAAATAATTAGCAAATATTTTTAGATAATATACCATATAAGGTTCCTCTTTCTCATGATCTTAACCAATTAATATCTTAGTTAAACATTTCATTAATATTTTATATTAAAAATGCTTGCATATATTTTGTCAAATAAAATATATAAAACTACACTACCTCAAACACTTCTATTGTTATCCCCTACTTTTTTTTGCTTTTTCTCCTCTATCCTCGTTATGAACCTTCTTCCTTGTCACCTTGCTTCCTTCTTCTGCTACGTGTAATCATGAAGGTTTTCATTTCCTTCAAGCAAAAAGTGATGTGCTCATTTGACAACGAGTTAAGTCCTAAATCAAAATCATTAATACTATTAACACCTTTTTTATTATTATTGAGATAGATAGTAGATTCAATGATACGAGTGCATGATATAGAAGAAACATTCTATTTAACAATATATGAGATGGAAAAAATATTTTGAAATGGGCGAACTTTGTCAAGATGAGTAAGGAAAAGATGAAGAAAGACATTGTCATCAAATATTTTCAGCACCTCATTAACCTTTTCGATATTTTTACCACGACTACAATGTCACCTATGATGACTTGAAGTAAAAAAATATTCTATTTGACAAGAACAAATTTTTAACACTGACTTGTTAGTGATGTTGGATCAATACAAGTATGTCAAGATGAAATGTTAAAAACAAATTCGAGATAAAAGAAAAAAATGGTTGTTGTCAATGTTCATATCAAAACATTCAACGTCAACTATGATGACAAAGCTAAAGTTAGTGAAAAAATAAAAAAACTAAATTTTAGGGTGGTAGGAAAAAAGGAATTTATTGAGAATATGGGAGAACAAAAAGGAGAAAAAAGAAGCCATAAATAACAGCGAATGTGTCATAGTTGACACTAGAATTCACGGTGGTCAAATTCTCTATATTTTGCAACGTAGAAGTCATTTTAACATCACTATTTATTAGTTATCTAATTTTCAACTCAATTAAAAAATTAGATTGAAATAATAAATTTACATTTTATAGGAACTAGACTAACAATTTTTGTTAAGGATTATTTTAATATTTTATTTGTTTATTATTATAAGTAATATATATATATATATATTATTCTTTAATAATTTATTGTAATTTTTACTATTTTAGTATATTTTAAAATTAAATTATGATTAACTTAATAATTACTATTAAACTTTTTTATTAAAAAGTAGTAATTATTATTAAAAATATATAATATATTTATATTTTTTAATAAAACCCTTGGTTTTTTATGTTTCCATACCATGGTATTTTTTTAAAAACAATATTAAAATAAAGGATAAAATATAATGTTTTTTTATTTATAATTTTGTAATTTTTTTATGTTAGTTTTATATTTTAAAAATTCTATAATTTTAATTTGATCTTAAACTATTTTTTTTTTTAAATTATAGGCTTTACATATTTTATAAGACATAATATTTTAATTATTTAAAATATGAAATCAAAACAAATGTAAATAGAATTTAATTATTTAAAATTAATTGAACTAAAATTGTGAAATATTCAAATATGAAAATTAAATGGTGAATAAATTGAAAAACTAAAACAACGTATAAAAATCAAGAAGAAGACAGTATATATATAAGTATTAGAAATCAAATCAATTTTGTTTGTGATTGTTTTTAATATATTTTTTAATTTAGTCAAATAGACTTGTAAAAAAACAAAATGGAACAAACTTTAAATGACTTTTATTATGTATGTTTTAAAGAATATCTTATTGATTTTTAAAGTGAATAACTTTGTCGTCGATGACACATTTATTATTATTATTATTTCTCGTTAGTAACATTGCATGTTGGATTAAAATAATTTTCTATTGTTTAATATGTAATATTATGAATAGAATTTTAGTTAAGTTGTTTATTTATGTTTGATTTTGTAAGTAGTATGTACTAGTTTTATTAGAGGACATAAAATTAAAATTGAACTGCAAATTAAAATTAAATGACGTATTAAAAGTTCCAATTACACCACATTATGAATTATTAGAAAATTCACTCAAAATAAAAAGTTCCTCATCAATAATAAATACATTCTGTTATTCATATATTTTATGGAGACATTCAATATGAAACATACTTTGTTTTATTTATAATAATCATGATTATAAAAAAAACTACTATTCACGAAATAATGATTCATAAAAATAACAAAATTTTGTTTGATATATTTGAAAAAAATGTTTACCCAAATATATAAGATCAAGTTGTTGGATATGTAACAAAGTAATTTATTTTTAATTATAAAAGGTATAAAATATTAACTTATTTATTAATTGGTATATTCCATATTTTTTAAATAATAAAATCCATTTTTCAATAAGTTTATTTTTTTTTCAAAAAATTCATCCAAACAAAATAAAATTCAATTATAATAAGAAATAATAATAATAATAATAATAATAATAATAATAATAATAATAATTACAATTATTATTATTAATTATTTATAATCGAAAAATACCTTTTGTAATTATTATTAAAATAATTTAATTTTCGTAAATGCCCTAAAGATTATTCAACAGTGATGGAGTGTCTGAGAATAAATGTTTTGCCTAATAAACAACCATTTTAAAATAGTTTGTGGTATGCAGTGACCATTCTGATTCTGGTCAGGTCTAACTTGAGATGATCCCAATTTTCATTTCCCCTTAAACAAGTTCCATCGATCGATCCAGGTGGGGAGCAAAAGAAACAACTTGAATTGTAGACAAAATGAGCAGCGCCATTTTCAAAGCTTCAACCAGCACTAATCTTCATTCCTCTCTCAGAGCCGCACTCTTCCATTCAACCCCTCCCTTGCAACGTAAACGGCGTAATTTTTGGGACTCCGTTAGTTTCTCTCAATTCCTTATACTTTATATTGTCAGTTCACTACATTTCGTTTGATTCCAACAATTATTAGATTGGAAACCATAGTCTTATTTGATAGTGGGCCTCACCCGTCAATTCCGTGTTTTCTTTATGATTGTATGAGTTTATAGCAATTAGGGAACTGTTTGTGACCCAACAATGTTTTTTAATTGAATTTATTAATGAAAGTTCAATGTCGTGGAAAGTGTTGTTTATATGTTTTGTTGGGCTGAGAACTGTTTAATTGCAGAGAGGCCACAACCATAGCTCCAGAAGGTTTAGAAGGATGCAAGCAAAACATAGAGTAATGAACAGTATTAATGATTATGCAGAATCCCTGTTTCAGGTTCATCATTCTTCTTCTCTGTTTCATGTGTGTATGTTTGTGCATGAGCAGTTTCTTGTATTTTTAGCTTGGTTCGTCATCAGTTGGTCATCAGTTGATATAGCGTTGTTTGACTGAGGTAGTTATATGGTTTTTATTATGGTTTCTTTCCGATTGTTACAATCTGTATATTTCTCCAGTTTGTATTATATATGCTTTACTGGTTTATTTGGAAGAAATAGGATCAGTGATGAACAACCTTGTATTTTATCGTTTAGGACCTGCTACAATGTGTCTATATAGGCTAAAAATCTTTATGTATTGTTTTTTCGGCAAGATGGTTCTGAACAAACTATATTGTGAATTGTCAGGATGGATTTCTATGTCAAATATGACACATGATAAACGATCATGTAAAATGAGGATATTTTATGGGCTCGCATTGACTATTTGGGTCCAAAAATTTCATACTGAGGAAAAGGGGATATGTTGGAATTCTCTTAGCTATTATTCTTCATGTTATTTAGTTTTTAGAAGTTCCTCTCAATGGATCATTTCTGGCTTTGTTCCATGCATCTGCTGAAGGTAGCAATGGTCGGCCACTATTTGGAGAAGATTGTCTATTAACAGCTGTAGGTTGTGCTCCTCCATTGGAAAACCATCACTACCATCATCTCATGTTCTTGAAGCCCTTTTTTGCTCTTTATTCCTCTGAGACAAAGCCTTGCAGGCTGTAGTCATTGAAGCCTCCAACACCTCGAGGCACATTTGCCGCTTCAGTTCCGCCACCCAGCATAATATCTTTCCCCATCTTCGGATGCGATTAATAGCTCTTATGGAAGCAGTAATATGCAATTGCATAAGCAGTAGGAGAGGAATGATTGGGACTTGGGCTAATCTATAACCTATAACACGGAACACATACTGATGATGGATTTGGGAGTGAAAAATGGTGTATTTTTCATATAGCCCTTTCTGTATAAGAGCTTCCACACTTATGCTGAAGCCATTAAACCCCTCATTCGTGATTCTATCCCATGCTTGTTTTTTCCACATGATAGAAGGATGATGTACCTATAGCTTTGAGTGGCAGTCCTAAGTTAGCAAATTCAAAATACACTGTATGCTTGTGACCTGAAATCTTAAGGATTTCGAATTGAAGGTTAACATCAATGGCCTCCTGCCAATACATCCAGAAATTATGAAAGCGCTGGTCATTCTTTCTGATGGACCAAGAAATCACGTAATTGATGACCACTATCAGATTGAGAAGATTGAGGCATCAGACCCATCTATTAAGCTTATCCTGCTCTGTTCCTCAAGAAACTTGTAAAATGCATCAATGTCACTGCCAAAGATTGACATTAGACTCATTCACGTTATTACCCAGTATTTTTGGATCTCGTGGCATAGATTAGGTTGTCTGCATTTGATTGCTGACATTCAAGTGGGAAGCTTTCATATATGTAGAGTGTACATGAACACATATCAAGTTAAAAGTTGTTTTTTATGCGAGAGTGAGAGGAACTGCGATTAGATTTTATCATGAAAATTGAAGATCAGAACATGAAAGTGATGTTATTATGTGGCCGTGCAACTTTGAATTGTCTTTAATCTTGACTTTTCATGTACAATTATATGATCTATATTTATTCCTCTTTCTCTGATATTAAAACGACCCTAACTGTATATACTGCCACATATATGGTGTTCATTAGATTAGTGAGTATGAGTTCAGTTTTAATGTAAAATAAATTAATAAATAAAATTCTTTGTTAACCAGTTAACTACAAACTCAACCCCTTCCCTTTCGTGATTTTGTTTGTCTTAAAATGTTTTGATGTTTATGGTTGCTCTTTTTTCTGCATGTTTTAGAGCTGGAAGCAGGGTATTGATACAGACAAGCTGCCATCAAGTCAAGACACCTCACGGTTTGATAAAAAACAATATTTTGATGGGGGCTCTGGAAGGTACAGGAATGGCAAGCAAGGATCAAATCAACGGTACAGAAGTAAGGATGCATGAAATACTTGTGCTGTAACAGAATATGACATGTATCTTGTAGTACTACCTCTCTTTACTGGTTGTTGTATCTCTAGATCATTCAACCTAATATTGTTTGGGAACTTCTTGTCTACTCAAATAGATTGATAAATTTAAACTTTCTGATATCATGAATAGGATTTGATCAAACTTGCATCATAACCTCTCTTAACTTCGTGTCATTTTTGCTTGTTTTTTATTATTTTCAACCAAAAATAGAAGTTTCTAGATATTATAAAGTATATTCTGGGGGCAAATATATTAATGCGAAGTTGGTAACAAACTTTATTTCTTTCAGGAGATCCATTGTTTTGTGAAGATAATTTTGATGTTGAAACCATTTTCCATTCTGCCTTTGGTGGGAATAGATTCTTCTATTGGTCCTTCATCGAGGAGGAAAATCCTCAGTGGAGGAGGTCTGAACGCTTTTCTAATTTTGGGAAATCTTGGAACTGGAGATATAGAAGCGAAAATGATTATGACTCTTCATCGGAGTCAGATAGTTCTGCCTCAGATTTAGCTCCCCATAGATTAGCCCTTGGATTGAGTGCTTCTGGTCCTCTGAAACTTGAAGATGTTAAAAACGCGTGAGTTCTTGCTTCTTTCACTTCCTCTGCATCAAAATGTTAAGAAGCCATAATTCTTTACTATGATATTCTTAATATTTTTATATCATCAGGTACCGGGCCTGTGCTCTAAAATGGCATCCAGATCGTCATCAAGGGTCTTGCAAGGTGCTTCCATTCTCTGACCACTGATTATATTCCTCCTCCTTTCTTGTTTTAATTGATGCTCAAGAGTTTCTATAATTAGTTTGCCTAGCTTCCTAATTCTTTTGATTTTTTTATTCTGTACATTTATACATGATAGGCTATAGCAGAAGAGAAGTTCAAGCTTTGCAGTGTAGCTTATCAATCTCTATGTGATAAGCTGGCATTGGGTTGAGGATCCTTCAGGCCTATGCTCATCCTTTTCTAGAATTATCCAGCCAGCTCACACCAGATGATTGACCATCTAAATTATTTAACACAGCAATCATTTTTGTGTTTTTAAGTAATTTTATTAGATGATCATGCAAATAATATGTATGCTATTTTACATTAACAAACGTACCATTTTTTACCATTCATTGTCTCAGCTGATAATATCCAGAATCTTCTGTTCGAGTCGATTTTTTTTGCAACATTTGAGTTGAGCAGGAGTATTATAAACTAAATAAGTCTTAATGTAAATTGAAAAGGTTGAAAAAAGAAAAATAAACAATCTAAAAGGAAAAGTATTGTTAACGATAGTTGAGTGGTATTTAATATAAAATATTTTTTATTATTTTAAAAAATAAAGATCGTATAATTTTTATATTTTAACACTAGATAAAATACATTTTTTTTAATTTCATACTTTTGATAAACTAAATATATTATCACAGATTCATAGAAATTCACAAAAATCTCAAACAAATAGGTAGTTCGGGAATGGAAGAAAATGAAGTAGAATGAGAGAAAGAGAAGTGTGTGGGTGTGAATCGCCAGTTTTGCATAGAATGCATCATAAGCATCCAACCATATGTGTAATAATAGGTTATTTATTTATAACAAAATGTTTTTCGAAAACTCAATACAGGAACAACACTATGTTTTCGAAGTAAGGAGATTTAGGTCTTATCATTTAAAGATTTGGGATTAAGAAAAGGGGTGATTTGAATTTTGAAAAGCGCAAAGCGGAAACTAAAAAGGGTTTGGTTGCGTATAATTTGCGTGTGTTCCTATTCGGAATTGAGTAAGAAAAATGATTGTGAAAGCGATCCAGCTTCAGATAAATGGATTAGTAAGTCAACGCTGGAGTTGGAAGGCCCGCACATTTTCATCCTTCTCCCCATTTTCCCCAATTCCATACCCTAACCCTTATACCAACCTGCTTCCCACCAAAACCATTCCTCGTAGAGTTCAATTCGCGCCATTTAACGCTTCCTCGACACCGCTTCCTTCTGCCGTGAGTTCTCTTCGCGCGTATCTAATGTTAATTTTGTAACTGGATTTTACATATAATATATGCTTGTGTTGTTGTTGATGCAAAGCTGGAATCTTGCAATTGTGGGTTTTCGATTTTAATGGTTCCCTGAAACGTCATTGATCGTCATACCGTAGGGAAATGTTCGAAATATCAAGTTCTGTCAGTGGTGTGGCGGTTCTACGAAGCATGATATTCCTGAAGGGGAAGAAAAATTGAGAGCTATATGTACGGTTTGTGGGAAGATTGCGTATCAGAATCCGAAGATGGTGACTGTCTAGAAATATTTGTGTAGTTTTGGTTTATTTGATTTAGTGCTTTGGAAGTAATATAATGGATATTTATTTATTTAACTCAGCCTAATGATATCTGTGTAATACGTTCAGTACATAAGACATCACTTAGTGGGATCAGACTTTTGTTATTAAGTAATGACAGGTATTTTAGGATGTTTAAAGTAATTTGTTTTAAATGTGTTTGAATCGATTTACAAAATCAGTGTTGCTGTGATACTGCTTTTAAATGGACTGTTTGCTGTTTGACTTGCAAGAAGTGTGTCACTCATTTCTGTACCATGAAACTGGTTTTACTTATTCTTTTATTTGTCATATGTTGAATTGTCTTGGCAGCTGATTTTGTGGTTTTTGTTCGCCCTTAAATTTGGATTAGGACTCTATGGATTAGAAATCATTTTTATCTTTCTCTTTTGTAATTTTTTGTTTTTATGGAAAACTCGTTGAAGTTTTCTTGAGGAGGTTGTTTGTGGCTTCAGTTGTAAGTAACTGGAGAACAGTATAGTTATATGTGGATAACCTAGAGTTCAATCTGAAAGATTTTTATGGTTCATTTATGGTATAAAATACAGTGCACATGCAATATAACTTGGAACTGTTGTTTCTTGTCAAATTTAATGTTCTGAATTGAGATTTGAGAGAGTGTGATATTGATTTTTTTTTTCCCATATTCAGTGATCTGAGGAAACAGGTTAGTTGTAAAATCTTTAGGATCAAGGTTTCTTTTTCAAAACAAAATGGTATGCGATGCATGAATTTGATGCTGAAATGTATGTGGAGGTTAAGGTATCTGCATATAACATGATTTAGAATGGTATGCCTATAACTCATTCTTTAAGTAATTTTTCTTTACACAAAATAGTTAATGAGAATGTATAACAAATAAGGATTTGGTGGAGTGTCATCTGTTTTTAGATATGTTCTCTAAAACGAAGCATGATCACTTTAAAATGGTAGTTGTATCTGTATTGGATATTTGTTCATGTTGGACTCTTTAAGAACGCCTACCACATTTTATATATTTTTTAATGTTTATACTTTATAATTTGATAAAATTATAATATTTCTGTATGTCTACAATGACTCATGATAACTTCTATAGCATGAATTCTCTCTTTTGATTTTTATTCTAATTTTATGTGTTGTTAATTTAAAAAACAAATTATATCTCCTTATTGTGTTTTTGAGATTCTCTAATCTTTGACTGGAAAAGAATTGTATAGTCGCTGTAGAACAAACCACCAATTTCGTCCTTAAACCTTTACCCTCTCTCTCAAGTAGTCCCTAAACTACTAAAGCTTTTTCAGTAATAACCAAAGTATTAAATTTTCATTATTGTAGTTCCTAAGCTGATTTGTTTTAGTCAAGTTTTGGGACCAATTTGAAGGATCTTTTCAATGTTTTGCGGGATTACTTTGTGTGATTTCTAATACTTTTAAAGACTACTTGTGTATTTTTTACTTTAGGGATAACTTAGGAGAGAGTGTATACGTCAAATTGATGATTTATTCTGTTTGTCAAAGCTCTTCTTTCATTTCATCAGTTGATGTATGACTATTTACTTTCTTCTGAACATGACATGATTTTGGTTGGCAAAGTAGGTAGTTGGCTGCCTCGTTGAACATGATAACAAGGTCCTCCTTTGCAAGAGGAGTATTCAACCATCTCATGGCCTTTGGTAGGAAAGGATTTTGTGTTATATTGCCTTTTCTTGTTGTTTCTGGCTATGTTCCTGTTCCTGTTCCCAGTACCATTTACAAAACCATGATGCTGTTGCTACTACTCTTTTTTTCACATAATAAATACTGCATCTCTTTTCATCAATGAGCTATATTAATTTCATATTTTGGTTCAAAAAGGACACTTCCTGCTGGTTATTTAGAAATTGGAGAGTCAGCCGTGGATGGTGCCATTAGAGAAACAAGGGAGGAAGCAAATGCAAATGTGGAAGTAATTTCTCCATTTGCCCATCTGGATATTCCTTTAATTGGCCAAGTGAGAGAGTTTATTAATATTTTATTTTATTTGTTATTTCCTTGGCTAGTTAGAGAATTTTGATCATGATTATGGAATGTTTTAAGGCAGACTTACATGATATTCTTAGCAAAGCTGAAGAAGCCCCATTTTTCACCTGGTCCAGAATCATCAGCATGCCAACTTTTTCCACTTGATGATATACCTTTTAACTCTCTATCCTTTTCATCAATGGTGGTTACCTTAAGTTTGGTATGATTCAGTATCAGACATTTAAACATGCTGACTTTAGGTTTTATTATGTCACCTACCCATTGTATAACTTGTGTTATTTTTATTTGTCATGGTCACAGTATGTTGAGGATATTAGGACTGGAAAACTCAAATTCCATTATGGAACCATTAACAAAAGGTAATTTCTTCACAAGTTCATATTATTTTCCCTAAATATAATGCATTGTCTGGTTTAAGGGCCGGAAATTATTTTGTATGTGAAATTCATTCTACTTTCGGTTAAGACAGAAATCTGTTAACTGGATTGGTCGCATTCATCTGAATTAGTTTGCTTGGGTTGGGTACTAGTGTCATGGCTGTTTAGGATCTTGTTAACGATTGTTTATGGGTACTAGTTAATAATTCAATCAGTTAAGAGAATAAAGAGAATGAAAAGAAGATTTCTAATTTTGTGGGATACTTACTCCACTCTATGATCTCATATATATATAGGATTACAACATTTAAAACAACAACCACTAACTACTAACAACCACCAACTCCCAACTACTAACTACTAACCACTAACCACTAACTAATAATAATTCTAACACTCCCCCTCAAGCTGGAGCATACAAATTGTATGTACCAAGCTTGGAACAAATAAATTCAATTCGAGGTCCTCTTAAAGACTTTGTCAACACATCTGCAAGTTGATCATTGGACCCGACAAATTCAGTGCAAATTTCTTTAGACAACAATTTTTCACGAATAAAATGACAATCAAGTTCTATATGTTTGGTCCTTTCATGGAACACCGGATTAGAGGAATGTTGAGAGCTGTTTGATTGTCACAATACATCTTCATCTGTTGGATCTCACAAAATTTCAGTTCTTGAAGGAATTGTTTCACCCACACTAGTTCACAAGTGAGAGATGTCATTGCTCTATATTCAGCTTCAGCACTAGACTGGGCCACTACATTTTGTTTCTTACTTTTCCAAGAAATAATATTGCCTCCAATGAGAACACAATATCCTGTAGTGGAGCGTCTGTCCATAGGGGATCCAGCCCAATCAGCATCACAATGGGTACCCCCTTTATCTTCATACAACGAGACCTTGTCCTGGAGCTTTTTGAGATATTTTAGGATGTGAACGACAACATTCCAATGATCGAGTACGCGGATTTTGCATAAATTGACTCACAACTCCAACGGTAAAAGATAGGTCGAGTCCGGTAATGGTGAGATAAATGAGTTTCCCAACAAGTCTTCTATATCTCTCGGGATTAGAGAGCGGTTCACCTTGATCCACCATTAATTTCTGATTTGGATCCATAGGGCTGTTTACTGGTCTAAAATCAATCATGCATGTTTCTTTCAAGATATCTAAAGCATATTTTCTTTGGGAGACTACGATGTCTTCTTTTGATTGAGCCACTTCAATCCCTAGAAAGTATTTGAGACAACCAAGATCCTTAGTTTGGAAGTGATTGCATAAATGTTTCTTTAGCAAAGAAATTTTATCAACATCATTCCCTGTAATGACTATATCATCTACATATACAATTAAATAAACACATTTTTCTGAAGCAATATAATAAAAAACAGAATGAGCTGCTTCATTTTGTTTTAATCCAAAACTTTGAACAATGTGACTAAACTTTCCAAACCAAGCACGTGGAGATTGTTTGAGACCATAGAGAGAACGATGTAACTTACAAACCAAAGTAGACTCTCCCTGAGCAACAAAACCAGGAGGTTGCTCCATATAAATTTCCTCCTCAAGATCACCATGCAAGAACGCATGCTTGATATCTAACTGATGAAGAGGCCAATGACGGATAGCTGCCATAGCAAAGAAAAGTCGAACAGTAGTTATTTTGGCCACAGGAGAAAAAGTATCACTGTAGTCAAGGCCATAGATCTGAGTATAGCCTTTTGCTACTAATCTAGCTTTGAGTCGATCAACTTCACCTTTTGGTCCAACTTTAATGGCATAGACCTAACGACAACCAACAGTCTTCTTCCCATGTGGAAGAGGAATTAAGTTCCATGTACCATTGTGCTCAAGAGCCTGCATTTCATCAATCATGGCTTGTCGCCATCCAGGATGATCAAGTGCCTCTTTCACATTCTTTGGAATAGTAATAGTGGATACAAAAGAAACAAAAGAAAAATAGGAAGGAGACAATCTATGGTAGCTAAGAAAATTGTAAATGGGATGTGGATTACGAGTAGAGCGAGTACCTTTGCGAATGGCAATGGGCCAACTTGAGTCATCATTATCAGGAATCGTGGTATCAGGGGATGATTGAGAAGGATATGCTGAGGAAGACTCATCTTGGGACATGGGACTGATCATTTGGCTCCTGTGTTGATAGGTAATAAGAGGCAGTGATGAGGATTCCGGTGTATTTTGTATGGAATTTTGGGTGTCAGGAGGAGGAGGTACAAATGGCTCCACTAAGGGTATAAGTAGGACATTTTGGAGCGAACTAATATCCTGCATAGAAGAAGGGAAGAAGGGAGTTGACTCAAAAAAAGTGACATTAGCAGACATGTAGTACCTCTTGGTTTCAAGAAAATAACATCGATATCCTTTTTGAAGACGAGAATATCCCAAGAAGACACATTTGATGGCTCTAGCTGATAGTTTATCTAAACCTGGAGACATATCATGAACAAAACATACGCAACCAAATACACGAGGAGAAACATGAAAGAGTGGGTCCTTTGGCAATAGAATAGAGTGTGGAACTTTATTGTTAAGAGAAGAAGATGACATTCTGTTAATGAGAAAACATGCAGTAAGAATAGCATCTCCCCAATGATGAATGGGCATATTTCCACCAAGTAATAAGGTACGAGCGGTTTCAACCAAATGTCTATTTTTCGTTACTGCTATACCATTTTGTTGTGGTGTGTGAGGACAAGTAGGCTGGTGTAAAATGCCTTGGGAGCTTAAGAGAGTGGAGAAATCGGTAGAAAAGTATTCTTTGGCATTATCACTTCGTAAAACTTTGATTACTTTTCCAAATTGATTTTTGATTTCGTTAAGGAAAGACTTAAAAATAGGTAATAATTCAGAACGGTCTTTCATTAGATAAATCCAAGTACACCTAGAAAACTCATCAATGAAGGTAACAAAATATCTATAGCCAAAGGATGAGACACGACTAGGACCCCAAATATCGGAATGAACAAGAGAAAATACAGAGTCACATCTAGATTTAGAACGTTTAGGAAAAGAGGACCTAGTATGTTTCCCTAGTTAACATGATTCACATTCAAAATCTTGAAGAGTCCGAAGTTCAGGGAACCATTTTTTTAATCTTGATAAGTGAGGGTGCCCTAACCGTTCGTGTAATAGTTTTGGAGACAAGAATGCAACACAAGATACGAGATGATTTAGTCCCAAGGTAGTATAAGCCTCTAGATTCATGTCCTTCGCCAATCTGTCGACCCGTACCACGTTCTGTATAACAAAAGAGTTGGCATTAAAGGTTACTCGAACAATTCAATAATTTGGTTAATTGACTTAGAGAAATGAGGCTGAAGGGACATGAAGGAACAAAAAGAACAGATTTTAAGTTTAAAGACGGAGAAATGGAGACTTGACCAGTTCCTTTAGAGGCTACTTTAGATCCGTTGGCTAAGGTTATGAGATGAGGAGTTTTAGGAAATGAGAGAGAAGAGAACAAAGAGGCATTACCGGACATGTGATCGAAGCACTCGAGTCAATAATCCATGGATTTTGACTTTCCACAGTTGTGAAATGCAAGCTGTTGATGAATTTGGGGTTGTTGATGACTGTGCTAGATTACTGGATTTCAACCTCAAATATTCCTGATATTCTTCGTGAGAGAACTTGGGTTCAACCATTTCAGATTTGGAAAAATTGACGGTTTTATCAGGAAAACCGTGCAAAGAGTAGCAATTTTCCACTGTATGACACATTCTCTTACAATGAGTGCACTGAGGACGTCCTCTACCTCCACGTCCTCCTCTAGTGCCGCGACTTCCTCTTCCACGGTTAGAAATCATAGCAGAAGATTCAACAAGTTCTTGATTATTTTTTCCTTTGAGAGTTGGAACATGAAGCAGTCTTGTAGTCAAACTTTCCATAGAAGGAACTTCTTGTCCAGTTAAAATTTGATCTCTAACATGATCAAATTCTGAATTCATAGCTCGGAGAGTCATAACCATATAGAATTTATCCAACTTTTGCTTTATCTCCTCTAACGAATCCACCTCTAGGAACATCTTTAATTCTTCAACTGCTGATTGAGCTTCAGTAATAAAGGTCATCATATCTTTATCCACTTGCTTGAGAGAGGCTAATCGATTACCGGAATCATAGAGGCGTTGGATATCATTTGCAAAAAGATATTCTGAGCTTTTTTCCAGAAAGAGTTACATGTTTTGAAGGATCTGAGAGTGTTCAAAATATTTGGTTCTACTGATTGCCACAGTAGAGCACAGAGTTGATAATCAAGTTTTTTCCATTGTTGAGCCGGATCTTCTGGTATCTTACTTCCGTCTTCTTCTAGATGATCGTGAAACCCTTGTTCAAGGAACCAAAGTTCCACTGAAGAGGACCAAGATATGTAATTTTTTCCATTTAATTTCTCAGCCGTTATCGTGGGAGTTCCAGGAAAGGAGGTTGTGGGCCCTGACGACATGTTTTAAATAATGTAGATGTAAGATGGAGACAATGGAACCTGTAAGAAAGAGAACACCCAAGATAGCCTGAAGGTTACTGGAAGGTGGTCGGAAAAGTCGTCGAACGGCAGCAAAAAAAGGAGACTGGACGGGTGACTGACGGTTGCCAAAAAGTGACCGGAAAGTGGCTGGAAAGTGACCGGACGGTGGCCGGAAAGTGACCGGACAGTGGCCGGAAAGTGACCAGACGGTGACCGAAAAATGGTCGGCCGGTGACCGAAAAAGGCCGGCCGGTGACCGGAAATGGTCGGACAGTGGTCGGATGATGGCCGGACGGTGGCCGGACAGGCAGAGCAGGACCAACCTGCTCTGATACCAAGTTAAGAGAATAAAGAGAATGAAAAGAAGATTTCTAATTTTGTGGGATACTTACTCCACTCTATGATCTCATATATATATATATATATATATATATATATATAGGATTACAACATTTAAAACAACAACCACTAACTACTAACAACCACCAACTACTAACCACTAACTAATAATAATTCTAACACAATCAATATAAATTTTTTATTGGAAATGATTCTTAGAATGATAGAAATCATGATGAGAGTGTATTAGTAATACTTTACTTTTTAATAAAAAGTTCATACTGTTGATTTAATTAGTGCTCTTAGCATTTGCATAAATTTATTAGGACAAAAAAGGTAACTCTTTGTGATTTTGCAGCTGCAGTTATGTTTTTGTGCTAATGCAAACTGATGAAAGCAATGGGTTTTCTGGATTATTTCTGATGCTTGGATTCTTAGACCTTTCATACTGTATAATATTTTTCTTGATGCTTGTTTTTAGGCCGGGTACAAGTCCTTCTGATATTCGTGCCTATACACTAGATCATCATATGCAGTCATGAGTTATGATAAGCAGGTGAGCCCCGTATCTCATATGTTAAGGGGGAACAGATTGAACTAGATATCATCACATGCGTTTAATTTCAATAATCATCCCATAAAGACACCCCAGCATTGCATCAACATTATCAAGTAAAAGTACACCATTGATAATTTTATATATTTTTTGTTTTGAAGATATTGAATGCGTTTATTTTTATTTAATGCTTAGTATTATTTATTTTAAGAGGCTTGTTTCAGAGCAATTTGTATGAACATACAGCATCATTCGTATTTATTTTCCATACTGATTGGCCAACAATACCTATGATCATGGTTTTCTTAACAATTTCACTTGTTCAGTAGTGTATGAGAAGATTGTTAGTCAGTAAACTCGCCTTGGGAGAAGATTGCACGTCTTCTGCAAGAACTTAGTGTTACTTGAGTTCACTATTGCCACAAGCTTAAACTCAACTTTGTAACAAGGTAGACTAGCAGTGTTTCAATTCAAAAAAGACATGTTAGACCAAGGTGCATCATTACCTACGAAATCCCCAATTGCCCTTTCGGACCTACCATATCAAATTGGTAGGCAGTTTCCATTGCAGAAGAAAGAACGACACTTGTTTTGCTATCTGAATTGGATTTTGTAAACATCTACATTCACCGAGATAAATTAAATTCTTTTTGAAATTTCCCCCTTTTCAAAATCAGGCCCACTTGATGGGCACTTTAGTTAACATCTTCGATGCAATGTGGTAACATGACTTAGACAATGACATCATCTTAAACTCCAGACAGCTTCATTCTTAGGAGAACATGGCCAGGAGCAATTTATTTTCCAGATAGATATTTTCAACTTAACTATAGAATAAAATGATTAAAACATCAGAAGCATTGGATTATACATCAAAGTGAACCTCGACCATGGTGAGAAATTGTAAAATTCAATTTCATCTTATGGTTTTTAAAGACAGCAATGGAAAACTACAAAAATATCCAGGCAGAATAGTCAGTTAAATGGAATGTGCAAGGCTTACATATTCTCAATTAAATGAAACAAGGAAAGAAATAAAAAAAAATTAAATTGAGAAAGTAAGATGATTTAGATTATTTAGTTAGAGAGACAACTAAAAGAAAGAAAACTATATATTTTTCTTCAATTGTATAAAAAGTAAAAGGAAAATGTAACTGCGGGTGAAAGTATATAAATACTCGTAATTAAATAATGAAATGGGACCATTAATCTTTTTATAAAAACTATAGGTGGAAAACTACTCTTTATGCAGAATAAATCAAATTAAAAACGAAAAAGAACAGTTAAAATAAAATGAAGATTGATAAAATTTCTATTTTTCTTTTTAAAAAATAAGAATAAGTTCATATCAATTACATAAACAATCATTTAAATAAATACAAAATTATAATAAGTGAACATGTTTCAAAAAGCATCTTTTTATTTATTTAAATTCAGTTTTTAATAAAATTTAATCATATAAAAGTTTATCAATAACATTTATTCATAATTTCATTATATACAAATTTTAAAATTTTGAAACCAGAAATCATATTTTATATATAATTATTTTCATTTATTGCTTTTTTTTAATTTTTTACTGTATTTATTAAAGAAATAAAAATAAGAAATAAGGAGAGATAAACAGATAATGAAAAATCAATGAAACAATGCTGGAATATAATAAAAAGCATGATTTTTAAATTATAAAAAATTTGGATAATAATTAACTTTCAAAATTTCTAGTGTGTGTAATATAAACCATTTCTAAACACATGTGAGTAACTAGATTTTGATCTTCAGGTAGAATTAAAATTTGAACATTCTCAATTTTTTAATACTGTGTTTTTTTTTTTTTGCTTAAATATATTTCTAACGAGTAGTTCTATGATTGTGATACTGCATGTGAATGAATTAAAAAACATGGCTTAATTTTACTAATATTTATGAAAAAGAAAATAGCGAGTTTACTTTGACTTCGATCGCGGCACTTCCTGGAACAGGGGAAGTTTCAATTTGAGTTCTGAACAAAACCTGTTCTTTTCTTCGCATACAGCTAAATTACAATCCTTCTTCAGACCTAGACTTCAAATCCCGTATCGAATTCCGTTGTTTTCTTTCTCCTCCATCCATCTTTTCCGGTTTCCTAGATGGAGGAAGCCAAAGAGTCTCTCACTTCCATCAACGGCGATTTCGGCTTTGGCGGAGCCACCGATCGCCGATTCGCCTTTTCCCGCCAATCCTCTTTCCAACAACCTCACACGCCGATAGACATTCCTGCACACGGCCTCCACCACCACCTCTACTGGTCCGCGCGTGACGATAAACCCTCAGCCTCGCTCCGCAGATCATCACTCTCCTCCTTCGTTTTCTCCGTCTTCCGCAACGTTAGGTCTGGCAACAGGTATATGAAGAGGCTCTTCCTGATGATATCGTTCAATGTCGCGTACTCCACCGCCGAATTGCTCATTGGCATCTTCACCGGCCGCGTAGGTCAGATTCAATCCACGTTGAATTTTCATTAAATTTTTCCAATTCAAATCCTCGTTACTTATCATTATATATATGTGTGATTTCACGAGGGACACGAGCCTGTGTATGTGCTTCATGGAAATTAATTTTACTTTTCAACACTGTTGGCTGATTTTGGTGAAACGAATTATGTCAACCGAATTTCAAATCTCTGCTGACGTTTTGACCTTTGCCGTTTCAGGTTTGGTGTCTGATGCGGTTCACTTGACTTTTGGATGTGGTCTTCTTACATTTTCGTTATTTGTTATGGCTGCGTCTAGGAAGAAAGCAGATCGAGAGTATACTTATGGGTGAGATTTTTTCATTTATTGTCATGGACTTGTCAACAGTGCTGCATTAGTTGTTTATGTTTAATTACGTGACACAGTTTATTGTGTAACTGATGCCTAAAGTATGTAGGACAGTAGGAAGATGGTTGTTTGGATAGTTCTTCTGGAAATACCCTATAATTTGCTTTTGTTATTATTAGAGTTATAACTATAATAACTAGTTTTGGACATTTTCATGTACAGTTATGCCATTTATCAAATTGTAGAATTTGTAAGGTATGAGTGAAATATGATTGTTTTTTCCCATGTTCTGAAAGGAACTTGTTAGTTCTTCACCATCTGACATTGCTTAGTTATATAATCTGAAGAATCTACCTCTGGCTTATCTATCCCTTTTTAACTTTTATGCGGGAAATTATTCTCCTGAATGTTTGTACTGAGCTAGTTCCAATTCTCATGTAAAATTAAGGGGTGGAGTTATGAACTTTTGTGAAACGGAACAGGATGACTTTACTAAATGAGGATGTGACTAAACTGACATCTGTAGGAAGTTAGTCTGTGACTTAGTTGCTTTACTACTGTTATACTTGTACTTTAGCTTGAACCTACACACATAGACATGTGTCCATATGTATCTGCATTCACTTCATGTACGAAAAGATAACTTTTTCCCGTGTGTCTATGTTATTGTTTATATTTTGTATTCAAGATTCAAGAATATGAATATCCAACAATTACTTAATGCTAGCTGCAAACATATCTAAACTTTGTACCTTGTTTTTGCACACGCCCATGTGTACTGCTATAGGTATTTTTTGAACTACTATTTACCTTTTGATTAATCGTTTCAACCTTGTCAGTAGTTTTTCTAACTAATATGATTTAATTTTAGGTATAAAAGGCTAGAAGTCTTGTCTGCATTTACAAATGCCGTAAGTATTCCTTATTTCTTTTACTACTTCTGTTGTTACTGTGTGTCATAGTGATTTGGTTGGCTGATGTTGTTACTAGAATGATGGTTCTATGAAATTACTAACCATGTAAAAGTAAGCTGTTGAGATTATGGTGCTGATCTCTGATCAGGTCTGATTCCTTTGAGGTTTTTGACAAGGTAACATGTAATTTTATCCCTAATGTAAGTATCCACAGAACAAAAGTTTTATATTAATGTAGAAATTTCTATTTTGCTTAAAATCTTATAAAATGCTGAATGATGTGCATAATAAATAGTAAATTAAATTTTCAGAATTGACATGTTTAACTGAATTGAGTTGCCAAAAGCTATCTTGGGACTAAGGATGTGTTTGGATTAACTTTTGCATCAACCCTTAAAAAATAAAACAATAAAAGAGAACAATTAAATAAACTTCTCAAAATGCTAAAATTAGCTTATATATAAGCTAATTTTAATTTCTGCATAAGTTAATTTTAACTTATGAAGAAACTTGTTCATTTCGTTATTATATTTTTCTGTCATAATGTCTATTCAAACAGGACCTAAGGAAATGCATTTGTTAAAGTGGGGATAATACATGACATTCTGGTTTGAATTTTACAGTGTTGACTAGAGTCTTTAATGATCACTTGTGTAAGGGGCTAAAAGAATTTTGTGTGACAGTGTTTTAAATTAATCGTTGCAAACATATTTCATTCTTGCTCTTTTATTCAGTACATTACATTGTAAGCGCTAACATATTGAATTCTCTCCTTCTGCTGCTTGTGTAGACAGCTGTTTCTTTTGTTTATGGCATTCTCCCTAGCAGTTGAGGCACTTCATGCATTCATACAAGATGAATCAGAGCACAAGTAAGTTCGTACACATAGTAACTGTTACTTGTCAGTGTTTTATTATTTACAATTAAGTATTTTACATATCCAGCAACAGAAAGACTGACCAAATGGTTTTTATAGTAAGATTTGAAACTTGTGGTTAAGCTGAGTTCCTTTTGATGCTTGCAAAGGATTGCGATTGATATCATAATTGATATGTTCTATTCATATTGTGTGTGATGATTGAAAGCACTGGACGTATGATTTAAGAGAGCAAAATCATGATGAGAAAGTCAAGGTAATAATACAGGGGAATCGATATGTGGGATATGTGGCAACATGGCTAGCTTGTGTGCATTAGGAGGGTTAAAGAGTTTATTGATGGCTTTGATGGGGCTGTAAACAGTTCTGTCTGGTGACATTAGGGTTTAGGATTTGTTGGAAAAGTTAAAAAGTTGTTGACCAGGTGGAAGTTTTATGCTTTCTGTGAAAGGGATCAAATCTTTGTTATTGAGAAAATTAAAAAAAACTAATGATAGATGGTCAAATAATATAAGGAACGATTTAAGTACTTAACCTAGAGTGATAGGCATTCTGTCTTAAAAAGGATATATTTAAGGGGTTTAAATAGGAAGTTAGAGAGGGTGAAATAGCAGATGGAACAAGGCTCTATTAGTAAAACAGGACAGATGTAAGTAGTTAGGCAAAAAACTGAACGAGAAGTTAGTTGAGTAGAGAATTTGAATGTTCTGGAATATGTGCGTGAGTTAATTGTGTCTTTGTGGCACCTTGTCTAGAGTTCTGAATAATATTCTTGGGTTATCTCTACTCTTGCATTCATCTTTGTTTCTATTTTTTCTTTAATACCAGATGAGTTGCTGGCTTATGGCCGGATTAGAAATATTTTCTTCTATCAATGTCTTCTTTTGATGGCTTATTAGGTCACTTATGCAAAACTGGTCAAACTTTATCAAAATGGTATGATAAAATAAATTACCTTTTTCTAATAAACATTAAGAGTTCTTAAATAACAACTATAACTTTTGGAAACATCAACAAAACTGATGCCCATAAAAGACAACCAATTAACATCTTTCATAAGGATGCCTATTGTAAAAGTTACAATATGTGACTTTTCTATGTCGATCATCCAAATTATGACTTCTATATTTTGCTGCTGCTTTCATTACATTTGTAAATTGTTTCTTGTACTGTAGGAAGGGTTTTTGTCTAAATTCTGACCTTTTTCATTCTAACAGATTTCTTTTTTATTTTTTTTCCTTCTCATTTTTATTTATACTGTGTTCTTCTTGTAGGCATTACTTGATTGTTTCTGCAGTGACCAATTTATTTGTGAATCTCGTTGGTGTATGGTTCTTCAGACACTATGCTCGGATTAATCTTGGTTAGTATTTACTAGATGTTCTTAAATTCACTTAATTTAACCTTTTCCCTCTCTGAGCCTTGATCTGTAATAATTAATCATTAAATGTTTTTTTCTGGAATTTGTGGTGCAGCTTACAGAAATGCAGAAGATATGAATCACCACTCTGTTTTCCTGCATGTTCTTGCAGATTCCATCCGCAGGTAAATATTCTGGGATTTATGTATGGTGTTGGGCATGTCTATGATAGTAGCTCCCTATCAATTCTAATGCATTTTCTTTCCTATGTACAAACTAATATTGAGCTTAAATACTTCAATGGTTTATCAGTGCAGGTCTGATATTGGCATCCTGGTTATTGTCAATCAGGTAAATATAATTTCATTTTCTGTCTAATTATCTAGTGTGATATAATGAAAACGTGATAAAAAAATTGACAGTTTTCTAACAATATTAATTTAGATATTGTAATTTGACTTATTTCTGTTTCCTTCATTAGGGTTCAGAATGCAGAAGTCTTGTGTTTAGGACTTGTTTCTGTTGCAGTTTTTATGCTTGTTCTGCCTCTCTTTAGGGCAACTAGTGGTATATTGCTCCAAATGGCACCTCCTAGCATCCCAACTACTGCTTTGAGCAAATGCTTGAGACAGGTTGTTACTTTTTCTAGAGCAAAATGTGTTTTGGACCACTTGTCTTCTTGTTAAAAGATATTTCAGTTTCAATTTATTTTTGGGAACTGGTGTTTTTAGCTTCCTATCACAGATTCAATCTTGGGGCTGTGGTGATAGATGCACTTTGCTCGCTTTAGTCTGCTATTGAAGTTTAGCATTTTTAATTTGAACCTGTTGATACATCAACGTGTGACTTTTACATATTGCATATTCTGTTCAGATTTCTGCTCGGGAAGATGTAATGGAAGTCTCCCAGGCTCGTTTTTGGGAATTAGTGCCTGGTCATGTGGTTGGTTCACTTATAGTACAGGTAATGTATTATTTGTTCTCCTTTCCTTTGTCAATACCGGTGTTTAACTAGTGGAAGCAAAAAACTGAAACTTGATTAGTTTTTTTGTGATGAGGATATAATAAATAACATGTCTGGATTCACACCCCTCTGACGCGTAGTCTTATTCAAGCGGGCACCCAAGTGAATTGTTGTTTATCTGTTGTATAGACCTGAATTTGATTTTCAAATTGTTTATTTTAATGTTTATGTTTTCTTTTCTTTTTATGAAGTTGATTTAATGTAAATGTTGACTATTTAGTGGGTCATGTTGACAGGTAAAACAAGGGACAAACGATCGGCCAATACTAGAATTTGTGCATGGTCTATACCATGATTTGGGTGTACAGGACCTCACGGTGCAGACCGATGATGCATGAGACTCTCATTACAATTTTATGCTATTAGTTATTGTTAAAGATTGTATACGCCTTACTGTCATTATTTATTACCGGTGGAGAGGAGGATAGTACGTGATTTCTCATTTAAAGGGATTATTCATTTTTAACCGCCATGTTTTTTCCTGCCAAAACTAGATTAGAAATGGATGCGTTTAGAAAGGTTCAAAAATTATTTGCGGATATATGGACAATTTTGAGAAATGTTTCAAACGTAAGAAAATCTTCTTGTATGCCTCCTCCGTTTTCACTTCTATTTGGTAACGTATTTTAATTTCCTAATGTTCTGGATATTCTTTTATTTCTATACGAACTGGCCCTAACCTGAAAACTTTTTAAATTTGTTTCTAAATTTATTTTATTTTTCTAAAACTCTGCTTAACCAAACTCATTTTCCATCATTTTGGTTGGTAAATAAGTTTCGTAGAAAGAAAGCTAGGGTTGTAACAGGATGTACGTCGAAATTGTATTCTGCTCCCACTAATTACAGCTCTTTTAATTTTTCTTATTCAAAAACAAAAGAATGATTCAATTTTATTTTTGAGAAAATCTCGTTTCAAAATTATGGCACGTTAGAAGTATGTTTGAATTATTATTTCTAGATCAAAATGTATTTTAAACGTTACAATAAAATTTTAAATTGTTACTCTTTTCTAAAATAAAAATTGATTCACAATCACCAAACGAATACTTATATGTTGGTTAATATATATAATAAACAAATACATATCACGTAATTTATCTCGCAATGTTTTGCTATTCTTTTACATTCCACCTTGGATATGTAATCATAAAAGTAAATAAAAAAATAAGAATTCATCTCTTTTCCACACCAAGGGCATTTGCAGGTTTGTAACTGCAAACCAAGCCAGCATTAAGTTGCAGAACAAAAGCTAAAATAAAGTATTTGCTCATATGTTTCTAACTGGCATTAGTTGGCATTAGTTGTGCGAGAATGTATTGTGTAAGCATAAAGATGAGAAAGAAGTACACTAGCTGACGTTATTGTATCAGTTTAATTGCATATATAACACGATAACATAGTTTTAAGCGAGCCAGTGGTTTTTCTTTAGGCCCTCACTTTGTGGTTACATTGGGCGTGGAGGCCAACACGTTTGCTGCATACCTGTGTCGCATAATTCCTGACAACTCCAAATACTTTGCGCTCTTTCTAAACTCTTTCCAAAAGCACTGTCCTTCTCGATGAAAGTAGCATTTACATTGGTCACATTCAAGAGTCCAGCCATTGCAGCATTCACCACATGCTTCACATGTAGTTTCCTGCTCTGTTCCTTCAACCAAATCTAGAGGGTGTGAGTGAACATCATATTGGACACTGCCTCCGAACTTGACAAGCCTAGATTTGCCTTCAACACAGTAAGGATGAGCACGAGAGTCACAGTCATCACAGTAGTAAAGCCATTGCTTCGGACTTGTTTTTTCATTGCAAATGCCACATTCATATTCCCTCAAACCCCCTTCAACAAAATAGTTCAGACTTAGAGGATGCTTGTCATACATGTGCCATGCCTTACGCGGTAGAGTAGCACATCCACAATCAATAGCAAAATCCTCACAAACATCACACATAAATACATGCTTCGACCAACGATGACAACCTATGCATTGCCTAGCAACGGTTGTCTTCTTGAGGAGCAAGGGATGCATGTGACTTTCATGTTCAATTCTCTCTTGAAGGGACCCACAACAAACATCAAGGTCGAATTGACACACATCACAACGATACACAAAACCATTGCTCAATCTTTTGCATCCATCACACCTGTAAATGCCATCATAATTAGGTGCCTTGGGGAGAAGGGTTAGAGGGTGTGCATGAAACGGGTGTTGTTTTGTTCTAGGTAATTCAACACAACTTTGGTGCAAAAAGAATCCGCAATTTTCTTCTTCACAAGAAAGGAATGGTGGCATGATGGGTTGGATACACCCATCACAGAGTTTACCAGAATATGGCAGATCACTCTCTTCATCCGTCAACTTTAACAAATGTTCATGACCAAAGAAATTACAAGTAAAATCAATATCCAAGGATTCCTCAATTTCGTAGTCCGTGGATGATTCCTCATCTTCTGTTGCGGCCTCACACTCATCTCTTAAATCTTGTTGTGGACACTTCAAATGCACGGGAAATCCGCACGTTGAACAAAAGTAGCCCGCAAAAGCTGCACTCATTGCTCCATCACAAACACCACAAGTTATGTTACCCCAGAAACCATAAACGTGATGAAGGGCATAAGTGAGTTTCAAAGGGTGGTCATGGCTTTTTATTCTAACAGTAGGAGGCAATTCAGCACAGCTAGAATGAACCCAAATCTGACAAATGGTGCATAGGCAAGCGCGACCCGCGTTTCCTTGCAATCCACAAGCATAACAGACAAACGATTGTGGATTAGTCACTGACATAAACTCGTGCTCATGACCATCATCTGGGTTGCACTGAGCAGCACATGACACGTCAAGGTCATAACTGCAGATATAACAATGGTACACGAATTTTTGGAAGCGACCTCTACAAGAATCACATATGTAGGGTGCTTCATAAGGGGAGGTGGAAAGGAGAACAAGGGGGTGTTCAGGATGAAATGGGTGTTTTACATGACGTGCCATTTCTGCACATGTTTTGTGAAGGATATAGTTGCATTGATCGCAGCTGAATACAGGACCTGAAATTGTTTTTTCACAACCTGAGCAAATGACTCGCTCATTGACATTTCTCAGTTCCCACTTTAATAGAAGAGGGTGGATATGGCTGAAATGTTCCATCTTCTCCATGTTTTGAAACTATGTGTGATTTTCTGTTTTTGTTTTTGAACTTTTAAATACGATTCTTTGGCATCTGGATACAGTTTGTTAGGGAGGAAGTCTCCTGTAAACTTTGCTTCATAGGTAAGAGATCAAAGATAACATAGATGGATATGCTTATTCTTGTTTTAACCCACAAAAAACACAAGGAATTTCATACTAAAGGAAGGGAGGACTTCTGGTTTGACCTCCAAACTAGGATTATACATTCCATAAGTTGAATGGGTTTATATATATAAAGTTAAATGGGTAAGTTATTGAAATTGGCTAAAGCATTACACCAGGTTCAACAAGAGAAGTAACCGATGAGTAATATCCTCCAACCAATACATTTTCAAGGTAAATATATTTCTTATAATTAGATTTTATAAAGTATTGAATCTGATTTATTTTTTAACAATTAACTAAATGATATATTAACCTAGTTATTATATTATATATAGTATTTAGGGAATTATTTTGTTTTTTTAGTTTGCTTGACCAATAAATTAAATCAATAAATACGAAGAGATTATAAAAAATTAGAACTCTTTTAAATTTACAGAAAGTCTGTCATATTAATGTTAAATAATATTGAAGCAACCACAATTTAAAACAAATTTAATATTACTAATGCAATTGATTAATTCTTTTATTGTGAATTCATTATTTTTTATCACAGAATTGATGTATTTCTATATACAATTACAAAATAGCTATTATACAAATTTATCTAGTTTGTACAAGTGAAATATATTCATAATAAATCTTAGTTTCTGCTATTTTAATAGAATGCCTCAATCTTCTTCAAAGTAGTGACATTAATTGATCAACTAAATAATTAAATATATTCAGATATTAAATCTAGTCAGATCAATTGATAAACCTTTATAACGTGGAAACTTAAAAAATATTAAACTAAATTATTGAGTTTTTCAAATTTAAGAGAAAAACCCTTTCAAAAATTATGGTAGGTCGCTTTTAAGTAATGACTACACGGTATTCTTTAGTAAAAGGCGAAAGAATAGTTCGCTTTGTAGTCAGTACACGACTCCATGATCAGCCACTAACAAAACTCCTTTCTTTTATATAATAATAAACCATTTTCAATTAGTATTTTAAGCTATGTGGGCTTTAATAAAAGCACGCTAATTCCTCCCACTTTCCTTGCCAAGAACTTTTAATGTTTCATATCACTTCAGTATCTTTGGCATCACTTCTCGTAGATCTCAATACTCTGAAACAAGGAGGAATAGAAAAAAATTAGCCTTGTAGCTCTGCCAAATAGATTTCACTCTTTTGAGATTGTTTAGAAAAAACAACAGACCTTCACCACAGGCTTCACATTCTGTGTTCTGCTTAGTTTCTTCTTCCACCAAAGTAAGAAAGGGTGCTAGTGAACATCATATCGGAATTTGCCCCCAAACTTTACACACCATTTAGACATTGCTTTGTTCACATTTTCTAATTGCAAATGTCACATTCATACTCTCTCAAATCCCTTTCAACAACATAGTTTAGACAGAGCATCTTCTCATACATGTCCTCTGCCTTACCAATTAGTAACGCATCACATCCATGACAAACAGAAAAATCCTCACAAACATCACACGAACACATCTTTCAACCAAAGAAGACAACCAACCTTTGCATTGCCAGCCTAGCAAAACCTTTCTTAAAGAATAGGAGGTGCTTGTAACTTTCATGTTCAACTCTCTTGAAGGGAAACACAACAAACATAAAGAGTTGAATTTACACCAATCGCAACCCTATCTATATGATCTTTAAAATCAGTTCAATATATATAAAAAGTTTGTTAAGCAGACTAAACTATCCCAAACATAATCCAAAATTGACATGCCATAATAGCAGGAGGACTCAGGTTCAATTTGATATAATTGAAGCTTACGTAGGTTCATGCACCAATAATAATAATCCTGGTTTGCTTCAACTCATTTTTCACCACAGTTCTCAGTTTCGGTGTTCATTTCTGAACCTTTCCATCACTTCATGTGAATGCAAATTCAAGCCCTTATTTCACGAACATAACACAATAATTCAAATAAATAACAAACCAGAATAGATAACTAATCAATCGCACCATTATTGCCAAATTGTTATATAGTGAGTAATCATTTGTTTCACCGAGGATTTCCAATCATATTAGTTTCTGCTGAATTCTCCAAATCTTATAGATAACTGAAACTTCCTATAAAAGAAAACAGTATAGTTTTTCACTTGATGCAGAGGAAATACACTACGCAATTTTGATCATTTTGACCAAAATTAAGATGCATGAAAAGAGATAAACATAAAAGCAAGAATGATGTATCAGAAGAGCTATAAACCGCAGTTAATGCTTGTTGGAATCAAAGATTGGAGACAAATACATGACATGAAAGTGAAGAAGTAAAAAGAGAGGAGTGACAGAGGAATCAGAAAAGGACTCAGCAGCAGATTTGGGCAACTGTGACCTAGGTGAGAGCGACCCGTATCGATGAAACGAAACTGGAAATTGTTAGAAGAATTGGTGTGTGGGGGAACATGTCTGAACCCCATTGATACGCGTATCTCTCACCCAGATCAAAGATGGCCATACACAGAGCAAAGGAGAATCTTTTCTTGCTTCTTGCTTCTTGCTTATCTCTTCATCCATCTTTATATGAATCCATAGCCACTGATTCAAATATGACTTTTATTTTCAATATTTTTTTATCAACATGATTTATACATTATCTTACACTAAGTTCAGAATATAAATTGAATACGTATCTGCATGATGTGCACTATATATATATACATATCTTTGACAATATACATTATTTTTTATTAATAAAAAAATCTCTAAAAATATTTATGAATTATTTTCCTCTAAACATTCTCATAATAAACTCATTCGAAAATTTGTATATTGCAAGTTCATGATAAAATCCCAAAACTTATAATATTCTAGATTTAAATGATATTATCTTAATGAGCCCAAATCGAAACACCAGACAGGAAAATTATCAATTTATATGAAGGATAAACATAACTCTTAATTAACTAGAATACCTATTTATATTATTCGGATTATATTATATAATTTACTGTAAAATCTAATCTCAGTAAAAATATTGAAAGTTTTCTTATTCAAGTCAGTTAATAATATTAGTTAATTTATCATTTGAATAATATCTAACAATTTGGACACCAAAGTAAGACCTGCAACGTGTTTCTTTCTTTATGTTCTGATTTTTTTTTTTTTTTTTTGGATGTTTGGATTATAGATTTGTGAAGTCCCTTTCTCAATTACTTACTGAATTAGTTATGTAAATAACTAAAACCCTCGATGTAGGTAAGTACTTGTTGAAATTTTAATTAAACATTTTATTATCAGAATTTATATAAATAATTTCACTTTCTTATTTATAATTGTCCTTTGAGACAAAAGCTTAATATGAAAACGTAGCTTGGAGATTAATATAAAATTTAAAATCCTTTGAAAAAAAAAAACTATTAAGAGAAACCAATAATATAAAATATTTCTACATAACAAATCCTTCCGATAACCATTAAAATATTTTCACACAATTTTAGCTATTTTTTAAGAAAAAAATACAACACTTGTAATTTTTTATATACCTATAACCATTCTTTAAATTTTTATATTATGTTAGATTTAAAGGAATATGAAATTTGATTTTTAAAAAAGATTTCTCTTTTGATAAATAGATAAAATATTATTTTATCTATTTGTGGGAATGTCAGTTTGATACATGAACTTCCAATTTTATTGGATGTTGGTTATTTTCTCCATGTACTCATCAATTTTTGACACTTACTTTTATTACTTGTTGAATCTTAACACTATATTGGCACAATATCTAACTAAAGTTCAATTTGGTGTTGAACTGCGAATATGTCACTTCATCCTTACAAAAAGCATAATTCTAGGTCAAAAACAACTTTTCCAAATACATTGAATGCAAAGGTTGAAATTATTAAAAGACTACCTTAGAAAGCCATGCATTATGCAAGACTTCAAATGAATAATGCAAATATTGCCAAATAATTACATGAAATAGTGCATAATTTAGGTTATTTGACTAGTCCAAAATTGATGCAACTATATTAATAAGATGTACATTTGGTTTTGACAAGAAAGGAAGTGGACATTCATTTGTTGATATTCGCCAAAGAATTTGAAGTCTTTGAAGATTTTTTTATAAAAAATCTACATTTGGTTCAAGAAAACATTGGTTCTCTGGAGATTTTTCTGATGAAAAACTATTTCTGATTCAAGAAATCATCGGTTGGTTGACATTTCAAACTATAAGGTTACAAGTGTGATACCCTAGATTTTAATGGCAGTACACATGTTAATAAGGAAAAATTACTTTATGTATGTGCACTTTATGTTTGGAGGTGTGACAAATATTAAATATTAGAAAAAAAAAATCACATGAAAAGGCATGAAATATCCCTACAACTTGTATGAATACATTCTAGTAACAGTGACTAACGTGTTAAAATGGGTTGAAGCTATGACCCAAGATGATGCTAAAATTGTCATGAAGTTCTCAAGAGAAATATTTTCTCCAAGTTAGTACCCCTAGAATCTCCAATAGTTGGGTAAAAAAAAATAGTCTTAATTAGTGATGATGGATTACACTTTTGTCATTCTCAATTGGAAAAATCTTGAGTCAAACAGTGTCAAGTATAAGGTGGTTTCTCAATATCATCCATAAGAGAAATAAAAATATAGGGAAAATTATAATACTTGGTCCATTTAATGCAAGGAAGAAAATGTATGTATAATCACAATGGTCCTTTGTATCAATTTAACGTTTGCTTGTACATCGTCATGAGATAAAATTTATATTGAATTATTTGCTGTTACATTCTTACTAAGAAATAAAATTTACAATTGTTATAATAATAATATTTAATATTGTTTCTATCACATGTATAGTATTAATTTTTAATCATTATTAAAAAAACTAATTAAAAGTTAAGAAAATCAATACAACATAAAAGAAACATGATTGAAAATTAAGATAATCAATACAGATTTTTTTTTTTCAATCCACATTAATACCAAGACGAGTGGAAGAAATAACTATGAAAGTGAAAATATTTTTAATAATCACAATGAAACTTAAGCATAACTCACACAATACAAATGTTGGTCATCTTTAAACTTGGATTGGTCATATACTCGAAGTATAACACCTTTATCTTTCCTTCTATGATGGTTCTCTCTGGGCTTTTCAAATCTTTCAAATCATCAATGTCCATAAAGGTAATATTGATGTTGCTTGTTTTGGAAAAGAAATACGAGAGTAGGATGTGGATCTCGCCATAAAACGTGGTGCACATATGAAATAGTATTAAGGAGATTGCAAACATACTTCGATGGACATGTTGATGTTGTAGTGTTCCCCGAACTCATGATGCGTAAGGACCAATGTTGCATAAGATCCATGTTGACGTCGTCAGCTTTGTTCCACTTCCTATTGGTAAGAGCACTTTCAACCATAATCATTATAAGAGATCATTTGCATTTTGTCTCTGCTTTGATTGGTTTTCTTGTCTTGATTGATATTATGATGACCCTAAAAATTATTGATATTACTATAATGTTATTGCGACTGTGAACTAGATCTTTCATCAATTGCTAAGAATGCGGAGAACCAGGTTCACGAGTTGTTTGCTTTTTAATTGTGGTCTCTTCCAACTTCAATTGAGAACATGTAACAAAAGTTGGTACATTATCTTTTTGTTGCATAACCATGAAAAAACCAGCATATGCTTTAGTTAAAGTCAGCAAGCAAATTGAGCACTAGATATTGATCTGAAACAAGAGCCCCAACATTAGATAATTGGTCAACAAGAGATTTGACTCTATTGCAATATGCGGAGGTTGTGGGGAAATCCTCTAAGTTCGTGTTCGTGAACTAAGTTTCAAGATATATTACCCTACAATTTTTGTTATCATGAAATAGGTTGGCTACATGTTGCCAAATTTTAAAAGCGAATCATCAGCCACAAGGATTGATGTGAGAATATCAAGAGATATAGTAGCATAAATCTTAAATCTTAAATAAGGTTGTCCATGAGTGAAATTGGCTAGTTTTCATGTCCAAAGTGATTTGAATGAGATGTTTCATGTTTGTGACAACTAGGATAAAGTGAAATTTGGAATTATCAGTCATGGATAAGAAAATGTGGAAGAAAGAGAGAAAAAATGTTTTAAAGAAGATGAACAGTGACCATTAGATTTTTCAGAAACGGAGGAAGGTAATCTAATCTGATACCATTTAGGAAATCATTTTTGTTTTATCTCTCTAATGACGGATATATATAAAATACAAGCTATAATTTAAATTAAACTTTAGGTAATTAATACTAGAAGATATTCTTAAAATATTAACAACTTATTTTACATAATAACATTTATCTATAAGAAATAAAGGGGGAAGAGAGATATAGAGAGATTGAATGAGAAGAAAAGATTATAGAAAGGACATAGGTTATTCTCTTCATAATCAACGTGATGAAGGATTCAAAGGCGTAAAAACATAATGGAAGGCACAAAGACGCGATGGAGGATGAGGTAGAGAGGAGAGGAAGAAGAAGAACTATTTTGTAAAAGGGAAAAAAATGTTTCACAAAAGAGAAAAAAAATATAATGTTATAAAGGACTTTGTAAATAAATTATAATACAATAAACATAGAAAACTCATTACAAATTATAAATTTGCTATCATCTCTTTTTCTAAATTGGTTCTTTTATAATCGATGTTAAATAATGTCAAAATCTTCTCAAAATATCAATAGTTAAAGTTTTCAACATTCTTATAATCTTATTTTGTTATAGAACTTTTTAATTTTTTGTTTTATTGGGTTCTTATGCCATCACAAGAGTTTCAATTTCTTAGTTTTAGTAGGTTTTCTTATATATTTAAGTACCCATTCACAATATTTATTTTAATTTTGACAAATTTCTTTACAATTTTATCTTTAAAAGATATATAATTGTATTAATAAATGATGATATTTATAAATTATCATTGACATTATTGAATTCACAACAATGGAGAATTAATTAACATATAACAAGAAAAAAAATATTGTATTGCACAAAAATATTACATAAAACATATAATCAACGAATAACTAATGTTCATTATATATACTTTTGTATAATTGTAACGAAAGAAAACAATAACAAAGATGGACAATTGGATTGTCAAAACACATTCTAGTAAATGATCCATTGGATCCCCTCTTACTAAATGGTTTAATGTTCTATTAAGTCATTTCATGATAGGTTATCTCATACTATTAGATCGTTTAACCTTCATCATATCATCTACTCATTATGAGATAATTTGTTTATCATCAAATGGACTACCTATCATTAAATGGTTTATCTACGATGGTCTGCTAATCATTAGATGATTTGATCCTTAAAATCATATTGTGGAGTCATCTTCATAGATCTCAACTTTCAAGATTTACACGAGACTTTTGTACGTATCAAAACAAATTGTTAATGGAAAGTAAGGGTAAAAGTGACATAAAACTCTTGATTTTGTTCTCATGAATGACATCAATGTTCTAATCCTATATATACTAATATAATATATTATAGTTAATTATTATATTTAAAATATATTGTCTATTGTGAAATTTAATTTTTTTTATCATTATTTTATCGTTAAAAGATCTTTTTTATAAATTAAGAGAATAGAATTTTAATTCTAACTTATATAAAAATTCATCTTAAATCTTGATGGATCCCGAGGCGGCTTATGGATGCCACAACCACCTCAAATTTTTATTATTATTAAAATATTAAAAAAACATTACCTAAAAAATAATAAATGTTCCCAGTGTCTCTTATCTTAAACATGTTTAAGGTCATAACACCTACTACATGTTGACTTTTTAAGTTATTTCAAAAGTTTAAGATATTATTTTTGACTTGGTTTAACCAAATTTCTTGGGATTGCCCTTAATCTCCATTATCTGATAAGTGGTTCCTGATTTTATACCACTATCTATCGTTGCTTATTTTAAAAAAATTGCACAAATTCAAAACGACTATTTTCTATCTGATTATCTATATAAGAAACAAAAATTGTTTTCCATCGAAATTCAAGTCAATTATGCTCCTCTGATCTTACTGTTCGTTCTTAATAGTTCAGTGTTACCTCGTACCTCCCTATGGTGGTCCGGGACGAACCTATTGTATCCTGGGGGAGCATCACGTCCGGTTGATGAATCCTTAAGGATTGCGTGCCTCTCACGCGCCTCAGGTCTTCTTATTTTAATTTTCCAGGGTCCAGACTACGTAAGCTTCAATAATCTTAAGGATTCAATATGTCCTCTGGGCCATCTATCTCAAATGTTGAACCTTCCAATGGAAGCGGCGACCCCAAACCACCTTCTCATCCTGTTCACGCCCCTTTATGTGAAACCCTTCCCTAATATCTCCAAGGTTGAGGTTTTTGGAGGACAAAACTACCGTAGATGGCAAGAGCGCCTTTTCACTGTTCTCAACCTGCATGAAGTTGCTTCTGCCCTTACAGAATCACAGCCACCACTGACGGCTAATCCTAAACTCCTACAAGAGTGGACCAACTCAAACAAGGTATGTCGTTATACTATTCTCAATACATTATATAATGAGTTTTTCGATGTCTACTGCTCATACAAGGAGGCAAACAAAATCTGAGTCCATCAATTTAAAATACACAGCTGAAGATGCTGGGAAGCAAAAATTCGTCATCGACAATTACTACAAGTGGGAGATGGCTGAAGACAAGGACATCAAGGTCCAGATAAATGAGTATCATAAACTGTTCGAGGACCTGAAAGGAGAAAATATTGAATTGCAAGACGAATTTGTAGTTGGTCTATTTATTGAGAAGTTTCCCCCTTCCTGAACAATTACAAACAGCAACTGAAACACAAACATAAGCAATTGTCGCTGGTAGATCTGATCACCCATATCATCATTGAAGATATCAACCGCAAGAAGCTCAAAGTGGCCAGGGCAAAGGCTCTAGCAGCACGAGCCACTCTCATTCAAAACAAAGCTAACAAAAAAGGTACGAAGTCAAACTCTGATCACTTGGTCCATAAGGTTACTAATCCCAATGTTGACTTAAAGAAAAAGGGACATTACTTTGTTTGTGGAAAGCCAGGTCATCAAGCATATCAATGCTGATACTGTGCGAGGAGACAATCCTCCCAAACCAAAGGCAAATTTGGTAGAGGGAGATGATATCATTGCAACAGTCATTCCTCAAGCTAATATTGTGACTGATGTGAACAAGTAGGAGGTAGACTCTGGGGCTACCAGACACATTTGTGCCAATAGAGAGGTGTTCACCTTCTACATTTCTGTAGGGGAAGGAGAAGAACTTATATATTTTGGTGATTCCAGAACTACACCAGTTCAAGGGAAAGGAAAAGTACTTCTCAAACTCACATCAGAGAAGACCTTGGCTTTGAATGATGTACTGCATGTCCCTAATATTAGGGCCAATCTGGTTTCTGTGTCCTTGTTGTTAAGAGTTGGGGTTAAGGTGTCTTTTGAGTCCAACAAAATTGTGATGACAAAAAATAATGTGTTTGTTGGCAAGGGATATTGTGATCAGGGACTCTTTGTTCTTAATGTGATAAACATAGAATATACGATTACAAATACCGTATCATGCCATGATTCTACATGATTAATTTTTTCCATATTTAGCTTGGCATGACAGCGATGCACAGTGATGCACATTAATGTCATATCTGTTAATAGACAAATTTAGGATACCGACTATAATGGTTAGCGTAATTATAGCCTAGAATGTTTCTGTATTTCATGTATATATTGTGCTATCATATTCAATACAAGACAGGGGTTTTTGGAAATATTTTTATCATGGTATCGGAGCGAACCAAACTCCGATATCCAACGGCCGAGAACACGATCGTACTTCTAAAATGGCGAGAGAGGAGAGGCGGTGAAGAAAACACCATCGCCATACGATCCGAGTGCCGGTGATAATCCTGGAAATGTGATTACACAGGTACAATTACGAGGAGAGAATTACGAGGAATGGGCAAGGGCCGTGAAGATATCTCTGCGGGCTCGAAGGAAATGGGGTTTCATAGATGGAACTCATAAGGAACCTGAAGAAGACACATCCGAGATAGAAGATTGGTGGACAATTCAATCGATGCTTGTATCTTGGATACTAAACACTATAGAACCTAGTTTGCGTTCCACTCGTTGCATACATGGAAAACGCAAAGGACCTATGGGATGACATCAAGGAACGATTCTCGATCGTGAACGGACCAAGAATCCAACGGCTAAAGTCGAGTTGGCGGAATGCAAACAACAAGGAATGACTATGGTTTCCTATTATGGGAAGTTGAAAACGTTGTGGGATGAACTGGCAAATTACGAGCAAATCCCAC